ATGGAGAGATTGAAGGTGGGAAATGCGAAGTTGGAGGAGATTGACATGCTACATGAGGTGACAAAGCAGATTGAAGGACACACAATCTGTGCCTTAGGTGATGCTGCTGCTTGGCCAGTTCAAGGTCTTATTAGGCACTTCCGACCAGAGCTTGAGCGGAGGATCAGGGAGCATGCTGAGAGAGAGTTACAGCAGGCTGCTGCTGCTTGATCCTTTTATACAGGTTGGTATTATAAGCTTTTTGTACTTGTTTACGCAGTAGTATTGAGGAATAGACATTGCATTGACAAAATTTTAAACTCTCTTTCTTCCTTGAGCATGCCGAGTCTTATTCAATACTGCATGCCCTTTGAATTTATGTCGTTCTTTTCACGATAATCCACTAGAGATCGTTTGAAAAAAAAATAAAGAAATGATTATGGTCTTAGATGGTAGCTGCCATTCTTTTCACGATAATCCACTAGCATATTATAAGACCTTAGCTTAGCATAGAATGACTTCTACCCTCCAAGACTATAATATTTCTCTATTTTCTTCAAAGGGCATGGCTGGTATTAGATTCCAGTAATGTGGTATATCTTAGTATTGGTAACCACCAACACTAGTCAATGTAACTAAGATCCTCCTGTTCTTTTAATGCACTTTTATCTTCCTCTCCTTTTTGAATTTGGAGGAATGTTTGATTTGTTTGTGTGATCAAAGTTGTTTGGACAACTAGTCGAAAAATTACAGGGAAATTTCTGCATAAAAATCAATAGCCTGTTGTTTGAACAATCTAGATTGCATAATGCACCATCTTCTCTGGCATGGAAGTGCACCAATATTCTGTCAACAGAGGTGCAATTATGTTTATTTCCCCTTTTTTCTGATTAGTTACCTGAAATATTATGCAATATTGTCCGTTATTCTTCTTTTGCAGGGAAATACAAACTAGTCCAGTTGAATAAACTTACAAAAAGTGGAGTCATTTCAGAATGCCATCCATTCCAAGAAGCAGTGTGTTTAATTAATGATTGTCCTGGACATAACTGCATTTAAATTCTATGACTATTTCTTGATGCGTCTAAAATTTGCCTTTTGTTCTGGTTGCATGAGGATGTAAGTTCAGCCCATGAAAGAACATTGTTGTCAGTTTGTCTCTTTAACTATTTTGCTCAATAATTTGAACGCCTTTCTGATGTTTCACGACTCATGCTTTGAGGGCTCATATATCTACTTGCAAAAGTGATACATCTTCACGTGTTCAATAATTTCTTTTACCTAAAATTATATCCATTAATGTATCACGTGCCTTCGCATTCATGGGAGCCCTGCTTTGCATGTTAATCTTGGCCAGAATCAGAACTGTTGAATTCTGGGATGTAATATATGTTCTCATTATTGATTCTACTTCTCTATTCAACATTTATATCTGCAGTTCATATGGCCAAGTTTTTTCTGTGTTTCAATGTTCTGATGATGATTTTGTGGACTTGGAAGTAATTTGCATCCCTTTCATTCACCAAAATCATTAGAGCTATTAACTGTCACATGGTGTACCCTTTGAAAGAATCACAATTGACCCATTTCTTGTTTAACATCTTTCCCCGTTTGAGCCCCATTTTTTCCCATTCTATTATATTAATTTTTTTTCTCTCTTCATCTCAACCACACATTCTCAAATAAAATAATATTACACACAAATCTAAAACTTTTCCACCACACATTTTCCCATCAATCACTATTCTACAAATTTTCAANCATCTCAACCACACATTCTCAAATAAAATAATATTACACACAAATCTAAAACTTTTCCACCACACATTTTCCCATCAATCACTATTCTACAAATTTTCAACCCCAAAAAATGGGGGCCAAACAGGGGCAAATTGGAGTCGGTGAAGCTTCTCAGAACTATAATTGGTTTCTTATAAACTCAAGAATATGTTTGGCACCTAGTAGTGAATAGTTGGACGGCAAGATCAGACAAAAATGAGAATTGTAATTATAAGTGGCTTCACCGACTCCAATGGGATGCAAGGTATGAACTTGGACAATTGACCTCAATAATAAACTCTTCTTGTCATCGAAGTTCTTCATGGCTACATGTAGTGGGAAATCTTCTTTCAAAGAGAGATGAGTCGATGGACTGCACATGAACATGCTCAATACTTGTGGGATTAGGAATCACGTTTTGGATCTTGCATTCATTCTCTTTACGATTACTATGAGGGGTTATTCAGTCACTGTTTGATGGTCATTATTTTAAAAAAATAGAGTTTTGAATATGTATATTTTGGAGAATGTGTGATTAAAAGTAGGGAAAAAAATTTGGGTTTACGCGTAAAATATTTTATCTTTTAAATATGTGGTTGAAAATGAGCATGAAAATTAAAGAGTTCGGAAATAATGGTCGTCAAAGGTGCTCAATAAGCTACAATGGAATTGCAATAAGTTCGACAAAGAATTACGATATCTCGGTGATCTTATTATCTAATAAATGGGGAAAATTGATCATTTATCCATCTAGGTTTGATAGATTTTATTTTTATCTTTCTTGGGCCGGTTGTAGACGATTAGGGTTTGAACCCCGACACCATGGTTCGTAAATTAGGATGTGATAGATATTCACGTCATAATGGCTCTAATTCGTAGCAACAAAGTTTCAGACTTAAGTTTATTTTATAGAACATACCATAGACGAGGTCTTTTAAGTTTTCTTAGAGGCTAATTCGAGGAAGAAGATTTGATCTTCACTCCTCAAAGTCATTATCAAGAGTTAAATTACTTTTAAACGGTCAGATATGAGGAGAATTCTCGTGTCTTGTTTGGTAAAATAGACTTGACAATATTAAACATTTTTTAAGGAAAAAAAAGACTACATAGTTGTACGATATTAATAAAATTAACATTGTCTTATGCAAAATACACATGATAATAGTGTCTCGCACTATCATGATGGATCCAATTCCAACCTCCACCAATAGGCATCTCACACTCTCTATCATCACCCTAAAAACGTGGCTGCTTCAAATGGTGCACTATACATTAATTTATTCGTTAAATATTTCATGAGATTTGATTTATCGTCTAACATAATAAAATACATCGCATCTTCATTGAACAACAAAGCAAGGGTGATACATACTAATTGTGAAAGAAGAGTTCGATGAATGTAAATATTTTTCACGTTTGACATATTCGTTGATATTAAGAGCTCTTAGAATATCCATTCGAGAAATACTTTTGGTACATAACTGTTTATATAATGTTTTATATAATTATAATGTGTCAAAATATAAATAGGAAAATTATTTAATTGTTGAGATTTTGATCAAATTAAATCTCGTCACATCTATCGATGGACCATTTTGTAAATTATTATGTACATGTAACACAAACCTGTATATTTAGACGTACTTTTAACCATGTCTATCGATTAGACATGCTTTACATTTGAAAAATTGTTTTTGAAAATTGTGATAGTTTTTTTCCCATTTAACAATTCTTTATTATAGCTCGACAGTCATAATAGAATGATTTAGTTGACAATCTTTTTAAGTATTTTTATTTTTCCTTTTTATGTACTATTTGATACAATTACGATATAGCTTATAGTTCAATATATTAAATTCTTGATTGGTGTCCATTATTTTCAAAATATATTTTTCTCTCTTCTATTTTTCAGTGTACATTTTCAACAAAATAATATTACACGCAAATTCAAAATTTTTCTTTATTTACCTCATATTCTCCATTAAAATATTATTTCAAAATGTATTTTGGACAAACAATGAGGCTCAAACAGGCTCTAAAATTTAGCCTTTGCCCCCGTTTGATATCAATTAATTTCTCATTCTCATTTTTTATTTCAACAACACATTCTCAAAATAAAATAATATTACACACAAATCTAAAACTTTTCATCACTTTTCCACCACAGATTCTCCCATCAATCACTATTCCAAATTTATTTGATGAATGTGTGGTTGAAACGAAGAGAGAAAAAATTAATGTAATGTAATGAAAACAATGTGGACCAAACGGGGCTTAGATTCAAACACAAGCTTTTTATCACATTGCAAAAACGTATAACACCCAAAATCCACTAATAAAATAGAAAGAAAATATTCTGAATTAATCTTAATTAAAAATAAAAACTAAAAAGACCTCATTTAATGAACCAAATAAATAAGCTGCTTATTTTGCTAATTTCTCAAAGAGAAAAAGAATAATTTGGAAATGATGTTGCCGTACGAGATAATAACTTTAAGGAATTTTCACACACTGCACACACGTGAATCTCCCTTATTCTTCCCTCAGTTCCCGACTTTTCTTTCGGTACCCACTTTGTCTCTCATTTTACCCATCTTTACTTCCTTAGAAAACAACACAGAAGGATCATTCAACAATAAGATTTCACAATTTGAAGAAAAGGACTAGCCTTTTAAAGCATTGCTCATAGCAGCATTCTGTTTTGTTATTTCATTTGCATTCATCTTCCTTACAGGTTAAGACACTGAACTTTTGTTATCTGGGTCATTTCAATGTGATAATATTGTGTTGATTTGTTCTACAATTGTTTGCATTTTGTATCTTGGTCGATTTAGAGGCCTTTAGTTCTTCATTTTTACCTTTTTTGGCTCCTGTTACCGTAGATTATTTTGGTAATGTGAAAATGGTTGTTTTTAGATTGTTATTTGGTTCTGATTGAGATGAATTCTTTTATTTTTATCAGCTTGATCTACTTTAACATCTCTGTTTTGCTTAAGCGTTAAAAGTTTATGCCTGCTCTGAGTCTGTAATTTCCACATTTTTTTGGAGATTTTTTTTAATAATAAACTGCTTGAATGAGTAGATTTGGTGTTTCAACCAGTCCCTATATTTACATTTATAGATTATATGTGCTGATTTATGATATTATTTTCAGGGACACAAAATAAATTTTGGTTTTCTTGACTAGATTGTAGTTGATCAAACATAACCGGCTACAATTTCGAGATTTTTTTTGTTAAGCCATGGTTCTAGGGCTGAGGTCAAAGCACAGAAAGGGTGCTTCTGTTAAAGTTGAGTACATAGTGCACTTACAGGAGATTAGGCCTTGGCCTCCAACAGAATCTCTGAGATCCGTTCAAACCGTGTTGCTTCAATGGGAAAATGGTGATAAAAATTCGGGATCCTTTATTTCTGTTGCTGGGAATACCAATATTTCTTTCAACGAGTCTTTCATACTTCCGTTTACTCTTCGCCAAGATAAAAAGGCACGTGATAAGTTTCTTAAGAAATACTTGGAGTTCAGCTTGTTTGAGCCTCAAAAGGACAAGGGAAGTAAAGGACAATTATTGGGGACAGCTTTATTAAATCTTGCCGATTTTGGAGTACTTGAAGAAATCTTAAGCATTAGTGTTCCTTTAAACTTCAAGAAGAGTTCTAAGAATTCAGCGCAACCGGCCTTGTTTATTAGCTTGGAGCCAGTTGAAAAAGATGGCTCGAATTCATCACCTAGTAGTCGCTTATCAAAAGCAGCATCCCTCGACAATGATGATAATGACTCGGAAATTGCCTCGTTTACTGATGATGATACTTCTTCCCATTCAACAAGGACTGCTGTATCATCAACCTTTGAGGCTACAACAGCTTCACCATCCCAAAATGAGAAGGTAATTACATTTTCTCAATTATTGAGTTTTTGCTTATTTTCAAACATAATATAGTTCATATGGATTAGCCAATTGAATTTAGAATTTTCTTAATTTTAAATTTTTTATTATCTTTCACTCCCTATTTGAGTAATTGTACTGTGTAATATCTATTTGCCACTAAATGCAGAATGGAACTGGATTGCTAAATGCTGGGACCGACCCTACTCAAGAGCCAAAGTGGAGTATATGTCCTTCATCAATTGATGTATCCTCAGATGCTGGAAACCGTATACAAAATTATGCTTCTTTATCCAAATTTTCTGAAAGAAGCATGACATTTGTCAAGAGGAACTCTGTTACCCCTTCCATAAAATCTTCTCCCTCATTCACAGGTTTCCAAGATATAAACGGGAAGTCCAGCTACTGCGTGGGAACTCTTCAGACAGGAAGTGTTCCCCGTGATGCCAATGAAGAGATTGCTAAAAGCAAAGCAAAAATTAATGAAATCACTCAACAGTCTGTAAAGGATGAACCCTCTGGTAGATTTTTACCTAAATTTATGTCATCTGATAATTCTACACAGGCCATTTTGGACTCAAAGTCTGTCAATCGCTCTTACGCCTCTCAGGAAAAGATAGTGGACCAAGAAGCCAGAGCGATAAATGATGCACATAATGGTCTGGTGAATGATGGAGAAAAAAGGGAACAAATAAATAATGGACATGATGAAAAGATCATGGAAGAGATTTTGCATTTCCCAGAGATCAAATTGGGGGGAGAAGATTGCAGCAGGCAGGTAACAATGAGAAGTGATACTCTTGTTCCCAATAGGAAAGCACCAGGAATTATGGGTTCTAGTACTAACAATGCTCGATTAAAGCATGCAAAGTCTGTCCAGATACATAGCTCCATTCGAGGGAATGGATTTGTAGGCAGCAGTGCAGGTGGGAAAAAAGCAACAGATCTTGATATTCCAGACTCTCAAAATAACAGGAAAGGTAATGCCACAACTGAAAGAAAAGAATCAAAAAATAAAATTTCAGAAAGTAAAAATGAATGGAAGTCTAGAATTGAGATGCTGGAGGAAGAACTGAGAGAAACTGCAGCTGTTGAAGTTGGAATATATTCCATAATTACTGAGCACACAAGTTCTAGTAATAAAGTCCATGCTCCAGCTCGACGACTTTCCAGATTTTATCTTCATGCTTGCAGAGCAGGATCCCAAGCTAAACGGGCAAGTGCAGCAAGAGCTGTGTTGTCTGGGTTAGTTTTGGTTTCTAAAGCGTGTGGAAATGATGTTCCAAGGTAAATGTCTGTTCCAGTGCTTGCTTAGGAGTTAGTGAAGTCAGTCATGCTGTACAGAATTAACAATTATCTGTAGCTTAGTTTATTTTGTTGTAACGTTTCCTAGAAATCGTCTTCCAAATAATGACTCCATTACGAGCAGCATTTTTTTTGTAGGTTGACCTTCTGGTTGTCAAATTCAATAATGTTGAGAGCCATTGTTAGCCAGGCTGCTGCAGAAATGCCACGTACTGATGGACCAGGCATAAAAAGTATTGGCACTGAACCTGGATTGACTTTTAGATTTCTTGCTAACTCTGGGATGGAGAAAGAGAAGAATAAATCAGTTGAAGAATCTGACGACTGGGAGGATATATTAATGTTCCTTATTGCACTGGAAAAGATTGAATCTTGGATCTTCTCTCGAATTGTTGAGTCTATTTGGTGGCAGGTTGTTTTTCAGTTCTCTAGTTCTTATTTTGCTAAATAGATTCTTAGATAATCACGAGATCATTCTCGTTTTGTCCTCTGCAGACATTTACTCCACATATGCAGCCAATAGTTGCAAAAAGTAGTGGTAGAACTACAGGCTCAAGTACAAAGAAAACATATGGAAGAGGACATAATTTGGGGAATCACGAGCAGGGAAATTTCTCTACGGAATTATGGAAAAAGGCATTTAAAGATGCTTGTGAAAGGCTTTGTCCAATTCGAGCAGGAGGGCATGACTGTGGCTGCTTGTCTGTGCTGTCAAGACTGGTATATCCAGATATAAAAGAATGCTCAAAGCGAAAGTCATTTATTCTTTAGACGTGGATGTACTCTAATGGCAATAGCACTGAGAGAAGCTAAAATCTTGCTCACTTTATTGTCCAGTCCAATCTAGCATTGCTTACCTAACGTGCACTAAAATTTGAACAGAGTCAAATCATTTTGGTCTTCAAGAAAAGAAAGCTCAAAGAACACATATTGGATATAATAGCGTCCCACAATTTTTTTTTATGTGAAGTGAGATCTTGTGCCTTTTTTCACTGAAAGGCTGAAACTCCGTCATTTTTATAGCTGAACTGTGATTAAGTGCATGCTATTGCTAAATATAGCATGTTAATACTTTCTTCCTGTGTTTTTTCAGGTAATGGAGCAGTTAGTTGATAGGCTGGACGTGGCCATGTTCAATGCCATTCTTCGTGAATCTGCTGAAGAAATGCCGACAGATCCTGTGTCTGATCCCATTACTGATTCTAAGGTTCTCCCCATTCCTGCTGGAAAATCAAGCTTCGGAGCTGGTGCACAATTAAAAAATGCTGTAAGTATGGAAGAATTTTTTTACGAAATATTATGTCTTATGCCAGACACCAGTCGTTCTTGTAAAACATGACGGATATATTTTTCTTTTAAGTTTTTGTTAAGTGCAGGTTATAATTTATACATACTCGTTCTCAAGTATGTAATCAGGAACATCCCCCAGACCTAGTGGATCTGCCGATATTAGTTTCTGGAACCATATTCTACTTAACTGCATTGGATGCTTAAAAATTCCTTGAATATTGTGATGACAAAAAATACTTGGTATTAAAAATGATGAAGGTGACCTTGCTTCCTTCTAAATAGTCGATGTTATAATTTCTCTTCTTGTTTCTAATTTTTTGTCCTGAATGGTCCTTATCTGGTTTTATTGTTCTACAATGTGGCTTCTTCCTTCTACTTTAACAAAATCCGTCCAACACTAAGCATTTTGAACAATCTTGTTTCTCTTAAAATATTTCCACACTAAAGTATTATTCACCTTTACTTTCTTTGGCCTTGACTCACTTGTGTATCATGGTTCTTAATTTCTTTTTCCATGCTGGTAGGTTGGCAATTGGTCCAGATGGCTTGCTGATCTTTTTGGCATAGAAGATGACGTACCTGTGGATAATAATTTTCTTGTTGATGACAAGAGACCAAAATCCTTGAAGGCATTCCGTCTCCTCCATGGTTTGAGTGACCTCATGATGCTTCCATTCGGAATGCTAGCTGATGCTTCCATCAGAAAAGAGGTGAGTCATTACTACAGCAATCTTTCATGCTACATATATATTCCATTTCATTTCTTTTCATAGTTCTTGATTTTCTTGTTTGAAGGTTTGCCCAACATTTGATCCAACATTGATCAAGAGGGTTTTTAGTAATTTTGTTCCAGATGAATTCTGTCCAGACCCCATTCCGCAGAACATCATTGAGTCTCTGGATTCTGAGGTTGGTCCTCCATAACTAAGCATGTTTGGGAGTTGTTTATAATTGGTTTAAATTATAATTAGATATAAGTGGCAGATAAGCGGTTAATACTCGTGGATCCTACAAAATGTGCGAATAAAAAGTTGTTTGACTGATATAAATAGATATCAAACAAGCAAAGAACTTCATCGATATTACCAATAACTTGAAAGAAAGTCGAATATGCACGTGGCTACTTAGTACTATATAATCGTACAGATTGCAATTAATATATTATATGGTTGTCTGTATTATTGTGTATGGCATTGTTTTACATTGTTTTTCTCGATGAAGGAAATCCCGGATGCTTCTGTAGAGCCGCTCACCAGCTATCCGTGCACTGCAAGTCCTAAGGTTTACTCACCACCTCCAGCAGCTTCACTCAATTTTGTTATGGGTGAGGTTGGAACCGGATTCCTTGAAAGAAGCGGATCATCAGTACTCAAAAAATCATATACAAGTGATGATGAACTCGATGAGCTTGACTCACCCTTGACTTCATTCATTCCTGATAGCTTTCAGAGTTCATCTGCTTTAGCAAAACTCAACTCAATGCCACAACGAAAGGGTGGCAGAAATGTTCTTCGGTATCAGCTACTCCGGGAAAGTTGGGAAGATGGTGAACAGTAACAAATTCAAAATTCCCTTTCGGAGTCATAACTTGAGTTGCTTGACAGACAAGGCACGTTACTGCTGTTAATGACTTGTGACAAAAGGAAGGGTCGCGAGAGAGCCATCGAATATCCAGTAACCTTCTTGGATTATGTATATACATGTATAGCCATATGTCTCTTTTCTACATAACATTAAGGCTTTTGAGACTGCCCAACTCTCCAGTTCACTTGAAACATGGTGGTGTTATGATAAGACTTGACTCAATACTACAATAGATAAGATTTTAATTTTATTTTATTTTTTAGTACTGAATTTATTCAGCATGCATTTTGATCCAAATAAATTAAATTCAATAGTTAACTTAGTTTCTTTAAAAAAATTGCTGAGGCCACTTAAGTTATGGTTCAATTTTAAGTGTTTTCTTGAATTTAATTTTGTCAGTCACTTTTTTTTTTTCAATCATTAAATTCTGTTCGCTTGACAAATGGAAAACTATTGTGGATGTTGAAATGACACGAACGCCATAGCATAACAAATTACCTTCCAATTTATAGGTTGTTGCGAGTTTCAATTTCGTTCTCTATTTTTTCTTCTTAAAACGAACCGAATGAACTACCCATGAAATTCTTAATCAGATACTCCGCTGGCACTCGTATTCGTCTTCATGTGGTGGATTCTTAAAATAATCTTGAAATTTGGAGTTTTCCCCTTGAATATGGTATTTCTTTTGCTGAAAACTGATTATTTTTGCTACGAAATAATCTCTTATTTTGCTATTTTAATCAATTTTAGCTCAGATTAATTATCTCTGAATTATTTTTCCCTTCATCCATGCATTTTCTAGTAGATTTCTCTGCTGCTCATTTAAAATTCTAGATAGATCGATGGCCATTTTAGTATTATTCAATGCACGTATGCATAATAGCGACGGATCCAGAAATTCATCTAAGCTAGGGCGGATCCATCTGAGCTATGGCGGACGCTCGACGACCGCCCGATATATGGGAAAAAATATTTCAGCGGAGCTAGCATGGGCGGCTGCCGGTTGCCATGGCTTACCGGGTGCTAGCTCCATCGACGTATGCATTCGAGTTTGAAATCAATTAATTCACAGCACATTTGGTGCACAGTATTGGATAGGATTACAACGGAGAAGAATTAACTTATTTTATCTTTCTTAATGTTATCCAATAACATGTAGTCTTCCCTCCAAAATGCCATTATAGTTCTATGATTTTTGAGGGACACATTCGATTTGTTTTAATTGTTCAGGAATCAACAGCAGCCACCGGAGAAACAGCTAGGCGTCGTCCATTACAGATTTGTGGGGCATCAATGTTATCAACTGCCCACATAGTATGCACGAAAGCACAAGATTCTGATAACCCTATAGGATCAATGGCGAAAGGGATAACACCATTGATCAATTCTGCGTTGCCTTTAATATATGCAATGCAATATCAATGGCTAGTAAGCCTCTCCTTCGTTGATGATCGTATTCTCGCTATTGAAAACATTGTGGAATTCATTTTCCCGCCATCCAAACGTTTGTTTAACAAGATTGATGATCTTGTCTACGCTGCAGAATGTCTACCAGAAAAGTTCGACCATGTTTTGAACTCGTTCCCTGTACTTATCCAACGATTTCCTTTGCTAGATTGGGTTTTGCACCAGCTCATATCATGGTTAACTTTTCTTATCAACACGTTTACTCATTGGGGATCGAAGGATAATACAAGGGAGAAGGAGATCACGATTGATATGAATTGCAGCAAATCAGAATCGGCAGATTGTTACCCTGTAGATTATTCACAAGTACTTACAAATGCCTTGCAAACCGAAGAAGCAAAAAGATTGTTACCAATAGCAGACACTTCAGAACATTGGAATAAAATAGTCGAGGAAGCATATTGTCCTGATGAATCTCCATGTACTTCATTTGAGTCAGCAACTTCATCTCCATTGTCTGTTTTATCACAAGATGAGGCGAAATCAGCAGGCAAAAAGGGCAAGTCAGATAATTTGAAGTGCAGTTATAAGGAAATTCTTGAGCGGGGGGTGAATGAAAACACAGGAAATGAAGAAATAGATGCCCCGCAAGAGTTTGGCTGGGAGAAAGATGCCAAAAAAAGCAAGGAAGAAAGTATACTTAAAGATCAAATTATGGAACTATATGAGGCAAGCCGGCCCTTGAATTGAATTTACAGCGAAGGGGCTGCATAGTCGAAGAAGCCTGATGCCCGCGTTCAAATTTTGAAGAAAACAGCATAAATTTTGAGCTGTTCCACATGTATCGTCTAACACATTTTATAGGTAAGATTAGGAGTTAAGGCATGTTAATTGCTATTTCTACTTAATTAGGTTGCTGTCATTATTTTGTAATCGGCACACCTGCTTATCATACGACTTCTGTACTAGTTGGGATGAGTTAAAACTCTTACGAGTTCAAACAGAGATTCATTTGATGGATTTTGAGGTTATTTGGAAAGATTTTAGGCAGTAAATACTGAAATTTGTGTCTATAAACATGGAAACTACAATTTTGCAGAAGCTTTGTTTTCTCCAAAGGGCAATGGAGGTCACCAGATTCTTTGAGCTTTCTTGATCACCCATTGGCATCACCGCATCAGTCGCATATTTTAGATGAATGCTTGGTATGGTACATAGTATTGTACAAGACTAGATAACACGATAGCGAGGCAAACAAAAAATATGCTCGAAATTTAGGTGAAGGTAACCCGAGCAAAAATTACTGAAGAATTAGTGTATGATTAGAACGATATTTACATTGTAAGAATGATCCAAAATTCCAATATTTAAATAGCTTTATGGTCTCAAAATATTGGTCCTAGTTTCGATCGTTTTCCTTGTATTTACTGTAATTTAAAAAGGGGAAAAAATATAAAGCAAAAAAGTGAAGAACGCCCACCGTGGGGCTCGAACCCACGACCACAAGGTTAAGAGCCTTGCGCTCTACCGACTGAGCTAGACGGGCTAATTGCAACACTCTTGAAATATATATCATTTCTCTAAATTTAACCTATTCGACTTAACAAATCTGCTTATATTACCAATTTATTTACATGTTAGCCTAAGAACTTATAACTAAGCATGTTTAAAAAATTGTTCCTTTTATAGTAAAATTAGAGCAAAATAAGTTCTCTTTGACTACACCAAATATGTTTGATCTTTCTAATTTCAAATAACGAGTGACAAATGGATTAATTGACTTTTGATGCTTTGTTCTGTAGCTCAACATAACATGAGCCTTAAAAAAAAGATTTAGTTGTGTATTAATTAATCTTCATCATCACTTAATTTGTGCAATAGTATATTTTATAAGTTGGATTTTTGGGTAATTTTCCCTTTTCCTTTTGCTGTCATAAATTGGCGAAAACATTCCTGTTATCAAAATCTAAAAGAAGAGTCTGGCAATATTTTATTTATGACTCGGTGTCCAAGTTTCGCCCGATTAATCTTGAGGAGTGGTGGCCTTCCCCCCTAGTTCGCCACCTGGGTTAATTCGGATGCGGTCACAGTTTGCACACACTTTTGCTGGACATTCGACGGTTCTCCTCTCTGTGGACCTCTGCCTTCCAACATGGATGTTGCCTTTCAACATAAATATTGCCTTCCAGCTGTTGCGATGATTCGAATATTCGATACTCCATATAGAACTCTCCTGCTTTACCACTACGACACGCTCACGAGGGTGAAGAGCCTTGCTATATTGTTAGGGGGCCAGCTGACTCCCTAGCATTTCCTGGCAACGTAGAAAACCCCTAAAAGAAAGTTTCATGAGATGCAAAATTGCGTACTTTTCAAATTAAAAAAATGTCAATAAGAAGTATTTATTTATAGTTATATATAGATAAATAAACAAAAGTGGTAATTCTACATCAAGCATCAATAAGTGCTAACCAAGATAGAAAGCACAAAACATAAGACCAACGAAACATTGCATCATTGTCATCGCCCATAATGTAGTGGTCTTTGTCATCAAAATATTTTCTTAAAACAAGTAACTTCACCAATAAAAAGTATATTTTCTTAACTTATTTGGTTATAAAGTGGATTTGTAAACTCTTTTTAATCTTTTGGCCGAACATTCAAATATTTCAGACGAGTACAATGCAACTGAAGGTCATGCTTTAACACATTATTGATATATCAAGAATAAGGATTCGTTCAATAATAGAGTGTATAGTAATAAGTAAAATTAACTAAAAGGGGAAAACAAGAGTATATAACAGCCAAAATTCGTAATGAAGAAATTTTAACTCTAATGTTACCAGGGGCGGACCTAGACGATTCGCGTTGTGGGGTCAAAAATGAGAATTCCAAAGTTCAAGAGGACGAAGGTCGAAGAACATAATGCAGTAATATTGTTCTAGAATCTAGAGTTCAGGGTGCCCAAACATGCCCCAGTCCCCAAACCACACTGCCTTCGCCCCCTTTGAGGTTCTAATATAGTCAAAAAAATCTTGCTCTTCGTTTTCTTTGGGAAAATGGAGAAATGCAAATCAGAAGAGAGTATTTATCAGAAAATAGTAGTTCAGATTTCATTAAAAGGAAAGGGAGGAGAAAAAACCTCATGCTTGTGTTGGAATTGGTTTATACACCTTTGTTACATGTACAAATATGTTAGACCCCACGCAACCAACTGGTAGGAGTAGTTTGTGACGTATTAAATAGAAGTGACATTGTTTACTTTATATCACTAAATTACAATAGCAATGTCGAGCATTCGAGAGGGTGGACTTGTTGTAATTATTTCAATGATCATGCTAAGAATAAGAATCACATATATTAATTGATGGTTAAAAATTCATACTCACAGTCGCAGAAGATATTCTTATGAATATTACCATCTAGATCTTCATTTCCTTACTCCTCAAAATAATCAGTCGCCAATGGGGCAAACCAATAAACCATCTAGAGAGGACATGAGACCTAGCCATTATATAAGAAAT